GCCTGCTGCTCAGGCCCCCATCGAAAGACCACAGCTTTCCTAGTCAACCGTGTCAGGGGTACGACTATCTTGGAGAAATCCCGAATGAACCTTCGATAGTAGCCTGCTAATCCTAGGAAACTCTGAATCTCGGATGGAGACTTCGGAACCTCCCATCTCATCACAGCCTCCACCTTAGCCGGGTCTACTGAAATCTCGTTATGGTTGACGAGGTGCCCAAGAAACTACACCTCACGCAACCAAAACTCACATTTGGAGAACTTGGCATACAAGCTCTCCCTCCTCAGGGTCTCCAAAACCTCCCTTAGATGCTCATCATGCTCCTCCTGAGTCTTGGAATAAACCAAGATGTCATCAATGAAAACTAGCACAGATCGATCCAACATCGATCTACACACGCGGTTCATGAGGTCCATGAACGCGGCAAGAGCATTGGTGAGCCCAAACGGCATCACCACAAACTCATAATGGCCATAACGCATCCGAAACGTGGTCTTCTGTATATCCTCCTCTCTAACCCTCATCTGATGATAGCCTGAACACAAATCGATCTTGGAGAACCAAGATGCTCCCTGTAACTGATCAAAGAGGTCATCAATCCTCGGGAGTGGGTAACGGTTCTTCACCGTCACCTTATTCAGCTTCGGGTAATCTATACACATCCGGTGCGACCCATCCTTCTTCTTCACAAACAGGATCGGGGCTCCCCAGGGTGAACTACTCGGACGAATAAATCCCTTGTCTAGCAGCTCCTGCAGCTGCGTAGACAACTCCTGCATCTCGGGAGGAGCCAACCGATAGGGTGCCTTGGCTATCGGAGCTGCACCAGGAACTAGGTCGATCCTGAACTCTACCTAACGCTCCGGAGGTATTCCAGGAAGCTCCTCCGGGAACACATCAGCATAGTCTCTCACCACTAGAACCTCGCTCACTCTCGCCTTACCCGACTCCCGGGTATCCATAACGTACGAGACATACCCCACGCATCCCTGCTGAAGGTAGCGCCTAGCTCTCGCTGCTGAACATACTATAGGTCCATGCTGTGGCCTCTCGCCGTGGATCACCAACTCTCCCCCACTTGGGGTCCTGACCCGCACTAGTTGCTATGCGCAATCTATCACCGCCCCATTAGGGTTCAACCAATCCATGCCTATAATCACCTTGTTCCCCCGCAACGGTATGGGAACCAAATCCACCAGATAACGCTCCTCAAATAACCTCAAAACACAATCCCTGAACATTGTTGATGCTCGCACCGATCGATCATCGGCAATCTCTACCTGTAAAGGGCAATTCAACATGCCCGAGGACTCAGTAAACCTCTTGCTAAGCGCAAGGGAAACAAATGACCGGGTGGCACCCGAGTCGAATAACACCTGAACCAGAATACCGTTCACATGGAACGATCCTATTGCATATACACAGAGCACATATCAATAACATAACATCATAAAATAGAGTAGAGGGAAAGAATCATACCCATCACCACATCGGGTGCGGCGCGTGCCTCTTCTGCAGTCAGCTGAAACGCCCGGCTCCTCACCACTGGAAGCTCTGCCTTGCCCTACCGGCCATCTGTAATCCGCAGGGTAGCTGGAGTTGGCGCCTTAACCGGCGCTGGTGATGTCAACTGGTGATGTCAACTTCCTATATATATATATATATATATATATATATATATATATATATATATATATATATACACACACATATATGTTTCGGCGCACTTATTTTTACGATTTACGGACGATTCGACTAATTTTTCCTATTTTATTATATTATAATAATCATGAAACATATAATATTCAAATGATTCTTCTTTATTACTTCAAATATGTTACAATTGTTAACTCTAACTATTACTTTGGTTAAGATTATTTATCTTAGATAATCTTATATATATATATATATATATATATATATATATATATATATATATATATATACATCATTTTTAACGCTTATTATATCTTAATTGACTATCCCGAATCTGCTGGTGTTACAACAAACGTGCCCTAGGAGGCTAGATCTACTATTTGGAGCATTGGAGTAGCTTAGAATCACCTGGACATGGAAGGGATTGCATGACCTCGACGAGTCGGATAATCCAACTTGGCGAGTTGAAGAGGGTTTTTCCCGTTACAGGTTTGGCATAAACTCGGCGAGTCAGCATGTCGACTCGACGAGTCAGTTAGGGTTTCCCACCGATTGGACACGCATGGACTCGACGAGTTGTCTGGAAACTCGACGAGTCAACTGGGAATTCCATGACTTCTCGAGTTCAGGAATGACTCGACGAGTCAGTGAGCTGCACTCGACGAGTTGGGTCAACATGGACTGTTGACCTTGACCGTAGACATTGACTTTGACCAAGGGTTGACCAGCTTGACTTCTAGGGTATTTTGGTAAATTGGAAATTTTTGGAAATGGTCTTATGTAAATTATAGTTGGTGGATTTCGTGGTTGGGATTTGAGAGTTTGAGCTTATCACTTCAGTACGACACTTTGGAGGTGAGTTGTCCTCACTATACTAACAGAGTCGAAGGCACCAATACCGACCTGTTTTCGGATTTGTATCCGGGTTTATTGCATGTTATGCTTTATGATATGTATCTTGGTTATTATAGGATGGTTGCTATTTTAGAGATCGGTTAGATCAGTATCCTGGTTATAAGATGGTTGTTATGTTAGTGATCGGTTAGATCGGTATCCTGGTTATAGGATGGTTGCCATGATTAGTGATTTGTTAGATCTGCATGTCAATTTGTTTATATGTATGTGCACATGTTTGTTGGTTTGGGGGATTGAGTTGTGCGGATCCTGCTGTGTGCTGTAGGCCAAGACACTCAGGGCGGACCAGATAGACTGCAGGCCCGTATAGGGAAAATTAGTCAGGTCGAAGTCCCGGCGAGCGGTCCGGATAGGTTGAAGGCCCTAAGAGGTGGTCCAAACGTGTCGAAGGCTCGGAGAACGGTCCAGATAGACTGATGGCCTGTGAGGCGGTCCAGTCAGACCGATGGCTCATTATGCATGTTGTTGTTTATTTGTTTATATGATATGTTTATATTTGTATGTCGTTGGTATTCTGGGGGAACTCACTAAGCTTCGGGCTTACAGTTGTTGATTATGTTTCAAGTACCTCTGATGATCGCAAGAAAACGAATGCATGATCATACAACTCCTCATATCTTATGATTTTTATGATTGATTTTGGGATACTCTAACATTATACTATTTTTGAAATAAGTTTTGTAATAATCATTGGTTTTGAAATGTTTTAAAAAGTTTAACTTTGGCACGATTTTAATGGATGTTACATAGACGCAAGCTAAATTTTCTTGAGTTTTCAAATTTTGTGAGATTTAAGGCATGTTTGTTTGATAACTATAATATAAGTTTGTTTTTCCAACATCTTGATTTATGCTATGTTATAGAGATAGTGTATTTGAGTGAAGTGAAACACTTGAAAATGTTATTTGTAGTACCACAAATGTTGTATATATGTATGTGCTACGTGGTGGGGATGCTTCGGTTGGTAGAGACTCATGTGAACCAGTGTACTGTAGTGGATGAATTAATTGTTGGTGAAAATCGATCTAATGGAAGATCGATGAAAAACGATATAGTAAAAGAGAAAGAAATAATAAAATAGGTATTTTTATCTCTCTCGGTTTCCTTGAATATTTTGTATATGAAACTCTAGTATAACCACCAATGGAACCTACTGAATATGTTTCTTTAGAAAATTATAAGTGTGTTGATGATGATGATGATGATGATGATGGTACACATGAGGATACTTACCAAATATGTTTCTCTAGACTCTTAGCCTTGTTTTTGTCGAAAAACTTATTAACATGCATACTTGTTCTATGACAAAATTGCACCAAAACCATCGCAAAGACAACAAAACTGTGTTGAGTCATTTACTAAAAGAGCTTGTGGATAATAATCATAGCAGAATCTACGGGAAATAATGCAATCCTTCTTGATCATCCTTCTTCAAAATCTAAGGTGTGTTAGTTATATTTAAGAATTAGGGTTACGGTTAAATGGGTTTTGTGTAGCATATTGGATTGTATAATTGATGTATGTCTAGGATATAATTTAACAATAATCGACAAAAGATTCCCCCCCCCCTTCTCTTTTTCCCCACCACCAAAAAGAAAAAAAAAATGATGTGTATTTTCATAGGGAAAGAACATAAATACAAATATATGATGGAAAATAGGGTATCCATGAAAGTGAAAGGGTGCCACTTGCAGTTGTTGTCAAATGTTTTTTTAGTAAAATGAAGTATATTGAGTATTTGAGTGTATAACTACCCATATAAGCCCTTAAAGGATGATTAGTTGTTGGAGTGCATTAGAAAGGGATAAAGGGTTAAATAGGTGAAAAAGAAGTGAATAACTTGCTGAATTTGCATTTTAAACAAGCCATATGGTGTTGCAGATTTGGAGATAGATAAAGGCAATAAAGCTCAACAAATTTGAAATATATTTCACATTAGTATCTCAAGGTGAGTAACTTTATTGTGTTAACTTTGGTATGGTAAGTCCAACATGGAGCTTTAGTGATAAGAACAGAAATGGTGTCTTAAACATATAAAAGGCAAAAGTAGTGTCTAAAGACATAAGTAATGTCTTAAAAATCTATTAGTCAAGACAAGAGGTGGTGTTAGAAGACATAAGTGATGTCTTTAAATCTTGTAAAACATAAGTAGTGTCAATGGTGCAATTGGTGCCTTCCAACATTCAAAATGATATAAATGGAGTCTTAAACTAGAAAATCATTTGGAGTTAAGTGGACTCAAAGGATATACTTCTATTAAAATGTATAATGAGTTGTTATCTCATTTTGTGATCATAGTTACTTGATTGTTAATATAGCGACGTTATTTTATTCTTGTTTTTATACAACTATATATTGTGCTTATTACTCATTCGACCAATTGTAGCATGTGTTCGTCCCTTACTGGATAGTTTTCTTGTATTGGTCTGTTAACCTGTGAATGTATATAAATGTCATTGCAATTATAATGTTCAAAAATTATAAATAAAATAAAAAATATACTTTGTATTGATTTTCGAAAATTACATATTTGGTTATCATTAGGTTTCATTTGTTGCTTTGTTGCTTCCTCCTTTCGTCTAATATTTATTGTCTACTTTTAATTTTAAACTTATATATTTTTATTTGTGTTATATATTACTTGATGAAACTGATAACATTGAAAAGACATTTAAGACACAATCCATTCATATATTTTGCATCAAGCATTATATATCAAAATCAAAAATATTTAAGATCAAAGTTGAATAATAAACACTTTAAAAGTCAAAAGTAGACAATAAATATGGAACGGATATAATATTATTTTTGTATCGTGTAGCATCTTGTTAATGAAAATTATGTATAGTTACGGCTTTCTTTTCTCCATTAAATATGATATGGTAAAGTAATTGAATAAGTAATAATATATGCAATATATGCATTGACAAAGTGTTGTATTATGGTCTAGACTTAATAAACGGTATAATGGGACTAACTTAATGTTCGACAACTAGCTTTTAACTTTTAAGAAAAAGTTCAGATTTAAAAAATAAAATAAAACTTTGTTCGGGAGTTCGAGCTTTCAATCTTTTATTTTAAACAAAAAAAAATATTAATCTAAAAGCTACTTCAAATAAAAGCTACTTTTGCTAAACATACCCTAGATAGCTAAATGTTGTAGAACAAATAAAACCTTATATGGAACACACAATACGCATCAATTTTAATGTGACAGAAGTTGGTAGGAAAAAGGTAATAAGCAGATGGTTGTTGTCTTAATAACTATACCAAGTTTTTTTAGCTCAACTCATAAAGTCATTCTCTACATATTAGGTCAAAAAGAAACAACCATATATAGTTATCGAGACTAAGCGCTTAACTCATTAAGTCATTTAAGTATAAAAAAAAATTTTAAAAAAAAAAAAAAAAAAAAAAACACCCCATTAGTCCTTGATACCTCTAGAATATATGCACATTCCAAGTATCTAAACTTCAAGTACAATAATTAAAACGTACACAACACCAAGTATGCAACTAAGTTAGTGTTTCAGTATTTCAGGTGAATCATAAAAATACCAATTCCAGCAGTTTTAGATATGGGAATTTACAGAATTAAACAGGTTTCATAGCTAGAAAAGCATGCTAGGAATAATATGCATTGATGTACTTAAATGGAAGAGCTGATTGATAAAAGAAACCTGGGAAGGTTCTCAAGAGCTAATGTGAAAATTGCCCCAAACAAAAAAAGTAAAACAAAAGCCAGCAATACTTTAGCAATGTAATTGGCACCTATAACAGATGGTAATAGTCCTTTTGTTGATTGCATATCATCAAATCCCTGCAAGTAGACATGATGAAATGTAAGATATTGTTATCAGAGACCTATTGAGGTTTCATAAGATTTTGGTATTCTGAAAATACGAACTGATAACAGTAAGAATTACACATACCGGTGAGGATGATTCTTGGTTTGATGTTCTTCTGGTTCTCGTTCTAGCTCTTGGACCTCCTTCAAGACCAAGAACACAAAATTATAATGAAGAATACTAGTAAATAAGAAACAATTTAGAAAAACAAAAGGTTTTTGCTATGATATCAATTTGGCATCCACACGAAGTTAGATATACACTTTGACATGTTTCAATCTATATGTAAACCCTAAAATTTGTATATTCAAACTTGATATTATAGAACGATTTCCCAATAGTTATCGTTTCCTGATTATTGATCTGAAAATTCGGTACATATGTTTCGATTGAACTTAAAAATCAAGCAAACTTGTACCTTCGGTTTCAGTAACTGTCCGCAGCTTCCATCCATGGCCGTAAGATACAAGAACTGAATTAGGACCGAAATTGATTGGCTCTTCCTCTTCTTTAACTGCTTCTATATACAACGCCTGCGGCAATCCTTCATCAAGCTTTCTGTTGATCAAATTCAATGCAAATCCGGCCTCCGTACCCGAAGAAAACCTTCTGATCTTGCTTGAACTTCTACAACTTACCTCCAGATACTGTAAGTAAACATCGTGATTAAATATTAATAACATGAATAAAGTCAATTCGAACAGTTAACAGCCTGAATTATTATTGATATATAAAGAGGATTATCGAAATAGAGAGGCTTACAGAATTATTATTGACTTCCGATTTTTCACCATTTTCTGCCATGGGAGAGTTGTGATTTGAGATACCGGAGATTGAATCACAGATAGGGGTTTGGTTGATGTTGATCGAGTAAAAGGTTCGAGTGTTTGACTATTCTAAGGTCAGATATCAGTTAACAGAAAAATCTGTTTTTGTCCTTTTTCTTTTCGTGTTTTGTCAATATCACCCTTGTATTAATTTATACTCTTACATTTTCTTTCTAATTATCCTCCTATCCATATAATATTGTGACAAATATTATATTTAGATAAAATTAATGATATTTTAGAACCCTTTTCATAATTTTAAATGGATAGGAAGATAATTAAGAAAAAAGTAGAACGATGTTTAATTTTTGTAACTTTCTACATTATTTTGTGTTAGTGTAAACAAAATTTAATGGATTCGTGTTAATGCAAATTTACAATTTACGAGTTATCATTATCATGATAAGATAAACATCTATTAAAATCAAATTATTTAACGACATTTATGTGTTTCTACTTGCAAATAAAAATAAATACGAGAGCGTTGAGGGGGACAAAATAGACAGCTAACTGCACAATGACTAATTTTTTTTATTATATATTATATATATTTATTTAAAAATAAAAATCTTATAATAGCGATAAGGGTTTTTTTTCTGATTCGTCCGGGATATTAAAAGATATTTAAATTCTCAGGAGCGGCCCTGAAAATAAATATAATTTTTAAATTAAGTTAGTTTTAACTTTTATTATGATTAAGTAATTTAAAAATTACTTATTTGGTTTTTTAAACTGTGGATCCTTTTTAAAATATCAATGTTTATAAAATAATATAATGTGATTTAAAATTTTATGTTGTTGTAAATTATTGTTTTTAATTAACTTTAAAACCGTTTATTATTATCAAAAAATTATAGAATACTAAAACTTAGGTATAATTTTTTTTTTTCTTTGTACTTATTTCACAGTAGCAAACCAATTTATGTATTATTATAGAGAAGTTTATTAGAAATTTGAAAATTTATGAAGTGTCACAATAATATGATGTAATGAATTTTATCTCTTTTATAGTGTAATAAATAAATAGATAGATAAAAAAAAATGTGTATAAAATAGTGCAAGCAGTAATTTTCTTCCAACCCATTATGGATAAATGGAATTGAAGTGGAAAATATACAGAAAAAGAATTGATTTTGTTGTTTGGTACAACAAAGAATTCACAAGAGATATTTAACTAGGATCGATTTTCTTGTTTGGTTGCAGCAAATAATGAAATGAAAATGATTTTTTTTTTAAATATTTTATCATTTTCAAACAATTTTCTTTTACAGTAATACTATTACCAAGCATTGTCATATTCAGTATTTTTATATTTCTCCACTTTTTTTATTCCAGTATTTCACTTTAGTTATAGGTTTAAATTAACAAATAAATTACACCCAACATTGCACTTTAGATTCATGTTCAAAGAAAATGTTAAATTGTTAATCAACCCATTTAAATTACATTTTTGTTATATGCTAACTATATGCTAACGGAGAAAGTATGTGAAACAACTAAATACAAAAGCTATAAAGTATTTAAACCACGACCTTCATTTTCATCAAATTTCTTTTTCTTTTCACATCGTCCTTTTATAATCAAATAAATTAGAAAGAATCACATAATTCAAATGATAGACTATCAATCACAAACTTCATGGCATAGTTCCCCTACGGCTTCCCATTTCCAAGCTAAACACGTTCATTACAAGCAATTTAAACCATTTATAAACAAAATCAACTATTTTAATTTTTCACTTATGAGAAATTATCTAGTTATGTAAGATGAAAGAAGAGCATAACCAGTAATCTTGTGATCTCACATCTGGAGTTATCTTGTGATCTTACATCTGGAGCTGCAACTGCTCAAATGTCACAACTATCTAACGGTGAAAAGCATTCTTTTGACCCACCAAGAATTAAAGCACTGATTTAAGTGGTCCACGTCATAGTTCCTTTGTATTCAATTTTCAAGCACTTCAACGAGTGTTTCAAAACAATGCAATTTCAATTTCAACAGGCTTTATGGCTGCAGTTTCATATAGGTGGTATGCATTCATGATTCATTCAAGCTTGTATAGCTTCAGGTTTAATGATGGTTTCCACTTTCTTTATCAAACACGATTTTCCCCAAGGATCTATAAGGCATATAGCCACAAGTTCAGGTAATTTGTCAAGGAATGGGAAACCCACAATTGACTAAAAACATATATCTCCCTCCATTTTCATGTTATATTTCTAAAACGATGGCTGATTGATCAAATATCAACCAAACTGTTCTAACAAGAGAAGAGATGGATGAAACTTAAGGTGTACAAAACAAGAGAAACTTTTAGGCAAGATACCATTACAGATAAACATTAATGATCAAGTGTCTAAATGCTTACATATTCCATTAAACTTCAACGAGATTCCCAATCCTTGATCTTTTTTCCTTTAGGCTTAGCAATAGGAGCATTCATACCCGCCATTTTTGTGTTGTATTTTGCTCTTAGTGTATCATTGTATGTCCACCTGCACAACATCAACAAAAAAACATCTGTAAAATTAAGCAAACACAACATGAATAATAAATGGAAAAAGATGTGAGTTGCTAAAAAGATGATGAAAACATACGGGTTATTCCAGTCAGTTGTATCTTCATTAACAAGATGAGTCCATTTTGTTCTTCCACTACGACCAAAATGCTTGACTTGCATAACTTTGGGCAAAATAGTCTTATCCATCTTATCCTCTCCAGTTGGAGCACTAAAATCACGGTGGAATATTCCATCAGCACCAACTGTTGCAGCAGTGTCATCTGGATCATCCTGGAAGAAAGCACCTTTATGATAATATTTCTGCATGAATCTCCATTTCTGTTTAGGTGCAGATGCAGGTTTTGGATTCTTTCTCTCCCATTCTCTTCTTTCTTCTTCAGTCATATTCCTAACTCTTTCAATCTCTTCTCTTTCCTTTGACATTGCATCTCTATCTTCTCTGTCTCTTTTGATTCTTGCATACTCACGAGCCTTCCATGCTTCATATTCTTCAGCTTCGTTTAACTCATCGTCTGTTTCTATGTCAGCAATGTTGGCTTCTGCTTCGAGGTTCTTCTGGATTTGTAGGTCTTTACGGATTTCTTCAACAACTATCTGTTTTGTTTCGATTTTTCTTTCTTCTGCTCTTCTCTTCATTAACTCTTCGATTGCTTGTTCTTCTGCTTCGATCTTTTCGCGTTCAGCAATGGTGTCGCGTTCTGATTTGGGAACAAACACGGGCTTCACCATAGCCATACCCATTTGCTCTTCTTCTGAATCTGTTTCGTATTCAGATGACTCCTCTTCTTCTTCCTCTTCCTCCTCTTCTTCTTCAGGAATCATGGCAGCTTCCTCTTGTTCCCTTTGAAGCAGCTTTTCCCTGATTCGTCTCCTTCTTTCATCAAGAGCATCTTCATCATCTTCTTCAAATTCTATCCTTTCTTGTCTCCTCTGTTCTTCTTCCTCTGTTGAAATGATCTCGGCTTGTCTGATTCTTCGATGATCTGCTCTTATTTCTTCCTTATTATCGAATCTATTCTCTGCTAACCGACGCAGCCTACGATCATCTCTTTTCATGATATTGGAATCTTCTCTGCTAGGGAAAGCCTTCTCCAAAGCAACTGACCTTGCCATCCGCATATCACCTTCTTCATCGCCATCATCTGCCCACTCAGGAGCTTTTCCAGGCCAATACCTCTTCACTTTTGTTTGCCCGATTTTGCCTCGAAGCTTATCCCTAACCGCTATGACAGTATCACTAACACCCGCCGTTACCGACATTGTTACAGCCAACAAAACCCTAGTTTTTTTTCTGAAACCTGGAACGAAAAATTAAAAGTGAAATGTAGAAAAGAATACGATTATAATCGTAGGGCTTCCCACAAAATGTTCTTAAGCTAGGGTTAATGAACGAAATCGACTTAGAGAACTACAAATTTACAATAAGAGCTTACGAATTCAACCGACGGAATCGATTGCCTCGGGTAAATCCCCTAATTAGGTGGCTCCTTTTGAGATCGAGTTTATTTTCAGAAATTATGCGCTCCAATACGGATTCAATTAACAATTTCACACAAACGATCTAAAACGAACCTAAACAATTAATTCAAACATCAAACCCGATGGTTTAGGGTTAAACCTCTGAAACTACAATTCAATCAACAAAAATTAATATACTTACAAATAAAAAATCAAATATCGTTTTGATGCCAGAAATCTTCAAATCGATCCTCCTTTTTTTTCCCTTTCTGTCGAGCGTATGAAGCCCCCGAAGAAACTGATGAGTGTGTGGATGTATACCCCAAAACCGATCCCTCCAAAAGAAAGTTGTGACGAGAGTTTTTTTTTTTTTTTTAAACTAGTAGTCACGTGAGTCTTAATCCACATAATCATAGTGGGCTGCTATTAAAAGCAACTTGGGCTAAAGACATTTTCTTGGGCTGATTTAAAATACAAAGTGAGCTACCATTTAATTTATTTGATGACCAGCCCATAAAGGTGAAACTTAGTCCAAATCCAATTTTCATTGGTTATATTTAAGATCAATGACTTGGTAAGAACAACTCCAATGTATTGTAAATTTGTATTTTGTAGGACCATATTCTTTCAATAGACCTGTATATTTTTTGGTATTTTTGTGTAGCACCAATTTTACGTGGAACTATACATCTCCACTAAACATATATGTACATTTATTTAGTTTTTTCCTTTTTTTAATAATAAGATAACATTACTTTTATAAACATAATATTAAAATAAACTATAATATTAAAATATGTTTTTAGTATTAATGTATAGTGTGTGGTTGGAGTTCAAATGATTTTTGTGGAACTTTTACATAAAAATGATGTGATTTATAGTGTTAGCCTTGGAGTTAGTCTAAAAACTCTATCAGATCAATCTGGTCATATTTACCTTTTAATTCAGTCACTTGATTAAGACACCACAATGCTGCTAAATTTCCAAAAAAAATCTTTAAATCATTTTGTATTATTGATTTATCATGGATGTTGTTTCGAGACTTCAATCAATTTTACGATGTCTTCCATGTGAATTTCCAATTTCGTTTATATTTAGTCATTGAACTTTTTTTTGTGGATATTTAGTGTATGTTCTTGGTGACTTGTATTGTTCTAATCTATGTTCTTGACTTGCAGGTACAAGAGATTAATTTTGATTTTGATTGTATTTGGGTTTCTTGATGTGATTTTTGTTTGATGTGGGTTTATTAATTGGGTTCCTTTGTCGATTTTTTTTAGAAAATCCAATAAGTTAGGTTTTTTTTAATTAGTATAAGCACACCAATAATAAATGTTTTCTAGAACTAATTAAAGGGATAAATCCATTGGGTGTTTGTATATCTAAAAGTTAAGTCTATTCTGACGCATCCTTTAGATAAGAGATCATATAATCATCTGTTCTTCAAGATATCATGTGGAAAAATACATGGAACATAGTCATACTTATTGTCCAACAATTTGTTTCCCAATTTCTGATTTGTTTGACATAGAACTTAATTGAACACATCAATTAAGTCATGACCGGGCCCGACACATAAGTCAAAACAAATCATCGAGAGGCCTAATATATCACTTTTAATCCTCCTAGGATAAAAGGAGCAGATAAACATTGACTTATATGCTTGTACTAGTTATTTGTTAAATTATACACAACAACACGTTTTATAACATCAGGTTACTAATGCATTTTCGTACTATCAATGCACTACTAACTCGTAATCAACAACGCATATATCTTGGTTGAAGACTATACGATATTATCGTCTCACAATCACTCGTGATAAATTCCATGAAGTGATTCGTGTGAGCATGTGTTTAATCCACAACCCAAATCTTATTTCAGGAGCACTCATGAACTTTGTAGCAAACTTTTGTTATGTCTAAACGCTTTAGACAATCTACAAGTCAATTCATGACAGTATTGCCTTAGTACCTACTTCTAAAGTATGATTGACTGTAGATGGTTTGAATAATTTTATTATTCTGAAAGTCAAAACATGCAAAATGAAACAATAGTAAACAATTGACACAAGATAATAACTTTACTCATAAATAAAACTCCTTTTATTTAATCATCAAATGGCAATTACATTTTATTTATTACAAGTTTCTAAACAGTTATCTAATCATTAAAACTAATATCATCCTTCAGCCCAATACTCCTAGCATGTTGCAAGTGCTTAACACTACTCAATCCCTTCGTAAGGGGATCTGTTGGGTTTTCCTCTGATGATACTCTCTTTACCATGAAGAGTCCTTCTTCTATCCGATGTCTTATGAAGTGATATTTTCTGTCGATGTGCCTGGATCTGTCATGATCCCTTGGTTCCTTGGTTAAGGCGACCGTACTCTCGCTGTCACAGAAATTTTCCATATGCTTCTTTACAATTGGTACAACTCCAAGGTTTCCGATGAAGTTCTTTAGCCATATCGCCTCCTTCAACGTCTCACTTGTTGCTATGTACTCTGATTCGCACGTTGAATCAACTATAGTCTCATGTTTGGAACTTTTCCAAGTTACTGCTCGTCCATTTAGGGTAAATACCCAGTCTGACTGAGAGTGGAAATTATCTCTATCGGTCTGAGAGTTGGCGTCACTATACCCTATCATTCTCAAGTTATCACTCCCAGGGTAAGGACCCAATCCTTAGTCCTCCGCGGGCACTTGAGAATGTTCTTTACCGCAGTCCAGTGAGCTCTACCAGGATTCCCCTGATATCTGTTGACCATACTCAAAGAAAAAGCCACATCATGGTGAGTACATGTCATAGCATACATGATCGAGTCAACTGCGAAAGCATATGGTACTTGGCTCATCTCTGCTATCTCAGCATCAGTGTCGGACTCTGAGTCTTACTCAGTTTGGTATTGCTCAGGATGGGAAATTCTCCTTTATTGGAATTCTCCATGCAGAAACGTTTCAACACCTTGTCAGGTACTTTGACTAAGTCATATTTGTCTTTTACTCATGTTTCTCAATATCCTTATCCCTAGAATGTAAGCAGCTTCCCCGAGGTCCTTCATAGCGAAACACTTCCCAAGCCAGGACTTAACCTCCTGCAAGTTTGGGAAATTGTTTCCTATGAGCAGTATTTCATCCACATACAATACCAAAAAGCTAATTATATTCCCACTAGCCTTGACATACACACAAGACTCATCCTCGCTTCTCGAAAATCCAAACTCTTTGACTTTCTAATCGAAACAAGTATTCCATCTGTGAGATGCTTGTTTCAATCCATAAAATGATTTCTCAAGCTTACACACTCTATTAGGGTACTTCGCATTGACAAAACCCTATGGCCGACTCATGTAAACATCTTCACCCAATTTCTCATTTAGGAAAGCAGGTTTGAGATCCATTAGCCATATTTCATAATCATGAAATGCATCTATGGCTAGCATAACCCTTATAGGCTTGATTTTAGCCACGGATGAGAAGGTCTCATCATAGTCAACTCCAGGAGTTTGAGTAAAGCCTTTTGCAACCAACCACGCCTTATATGTGTGTACTTTCCCATCCATTTGCACCCGACCGTCTTAAGTCTTAAGCAGGAAATTAAGGTTTCCTCCAACAAACCATAGCAGCCCTCAGATATATAAAGACCCTACCTCCTTAGGGTTTCGGCTAATGCCTGCTTTTGCTAACCATAGCTGAAATCTTAGTGTTATTCACTCCTCTATCCTCTCATCCTCTTGCAAAGAGTATTTGTAAGCCATTAGAGGTGTCACATTTGAGGCAATTGCTTTCAAGAGTAAATATCTACAGGGTTGTCTTGTTATTACTACATAACAAGTAAGGTCAATTCTAAACCCTATTTACATACGAACTTTGAATTATATGCTAGATCCTAGGGTTTTGCTTTGGTATTCAAGTGTGCATGTTCAACTGGTGAAAACCTAGATCCAAAATAATTAGGGTTACATGAACACATATGTTTGTTGTTATGCTAAAAACCCATTAGCATCGATCGACTCAATACCTGCAATTGAGCCGGAACCAAAATCTGAATCCCATTCCTGAATGTTGAACACCTCATCGAAACTATCATGCATAAGGTCTGAATATACCAAAATATCATTAACCCAAGGGCTTCTTAGATTCTCCTAGACTCACCCTTATTTGAGTATGGATCCTGTTCTTTCAGTAGTACGGGCCCAATACCACCTTCCACACATATCCATACTTTCCTCAATAATGCTCTCAAATCCTCTAAGTCATGTTCTCGAATCCATATATCAAACCTTACTAATCCGCGTAATTAAACCCACTAAAACAATTCCTAGGCTTTCATAGGTTCGTGAGCTCACCCTGTCATCAATTGCTGAAGAACTCCTCATAATGCCAATTAGTTATCTCATTAATACAATCATATACAACAAAAATCAAACAACCCTTCGAGTAACAGACTCATCCCTACAACGGTTAAGACTTAGACGAGAGCTGCGCAATAGGGTCAATTTCGTCACTCTGAGATTATACAACCCTTTTTACATGTGACTTGACATATTCACTTAATGACTAACTCACATCACTTAAGATTTCTACAAAGCACAAAGCAAGTAACATTCGTATAGAGGAACTGACTGGAACTAAAAAGCATTAAATTATGATAATTTATCATACGAAATGCTCAACCTCAAACTCCTAGCATCTCGGCGCACCTTCGCCCCGCCCCCACCCTCTCAAGTGTGGCAAAACATTCTTTACGTTGGCCCGCTATTAATCACACCCACTCGAAGGAACCACTGCCTCCTCATCCAATAATGTAATTGGCTGGCTGACCCCATACGAATCATTGTCCCACTAATTGCCATGCGACTCTCCATTGGTGTCAGGTGACTATCATATGAATACAATAACATGCCCCAAAGTTTAGACAATCTTAGGCTAAAGGATTCAATCCCATAATGGTTGGAATTAGACAAGAGATGCGCAATAAGACCAAACTCCTTATCCTAAGACCATTTAAACCACATAACATTTGACTTAGCGTATTCACTCAATAGCCAATTCACGTGTGAAAGAGTTATGCAACAGTAAAACGAGGGAACTCTATAGGAACTAAGGCATCACATAATCAGGCAATTCTATCATGCAATTCCTGAAGATCCTTAGCCTATTACTAGCATGCTGCTCTAACATAACATAACATAATCTCAAATAATTGTGTCGTAATTTGGGGTAAACTTACTGGCTCCGGCTGATCGTACACATTGCATCCTCCTTGATTATTTTGAAAAGCATTTGAAAATTGTTTTAAAAACCTTTATACTTAGTTTGATATTAGATTCACATGGGTGTTCCTCCAATTCACT